TGTGAGGACGAATGGAGCAGTGTTGGAAGATCTTGTGAGCTATGCCCTAGGCTGAACAGGTTGAGTGAGTAAGAAAAGTATTACAATAAATTACTGTTTTCAAAAGATCGAGTTGAATGAATGCTTAGTTCTACTGGATAAGCTTGAAAAAGAGATAACCTCCTAGGTAGAGCAGATGCAAGGTGGTGGAAGGAGTGCAGAAACAGCCAATTTTTGGTGAAATTCTTTTACAATGTACTTATCTTGAACCAGGTAGATATATATAAATTGGCATTGAGGGTAATCTGATTCAACCTAGAGTGGAACCCTTTGTGTGATTGGTTGCCATGGACTGTTCTTACAGCAAATAACTGAACAATAGATGATTCCACTTTCCTAGTAAATGCTGTTTATGTAACAATAATGAAGAAGATGATAGTATCATAGTAATCTGTTAATTATTTGTGTCTTTACCAAATTTATTTGTTTTTTTTTTCTTTTGTCTTTTAAGACGTGGCTGCCATTTGGCAGGCTAGTCAATTTTTGCATCTTGACCTACAATCCAGGAAAGTAAGAAGGCAGTAATCTCTTGGACCTGCATTCTGTTTGCTGTAGTTTGGTGCATCTAGAAGTAGATAAATAGAAGAATTTTTTATGGTATTCAGAAGTGTAGAGAAAGATTGTATACATCAATTGGAAATATGATATTGGTTGGATTCTTGTGCATCAAGAATTCAAAGATGTCCAGTGGGAAACTTTTTGGTCATCCTTTTGGACCACTTTAGAACTGCATCGGGAAACCTCATAGTTGATTGCATTAATTGTTTCTGAAATGTTTTGTAGTAAGTTTCTTATTGGATTGTGGTGCCATCTGATCACCTTATCCAGAATTTCAGATCTTGTATTTCTTATATCTTAATAAGAAATAAGATATAAGATTTTAGTTTATATGATTTTAGTTTTAATGTGACCTAAAAAGTCATTTCATGAAAAAAAAGCAATACTGGATTTTTTGTCATGCATTTATCAGGCTAAAACTGTATGCTGAGATGGATGAGTGGAAAAACTAGAAAGGATAGGGTCAAAACTGAAGTCATTTGAAGGAACCTACAACTAGCTCCAATAGGTGATAAAATGAGAGAAGTAGACAAAGATGGTTTGGTCATGTGCATAGAAGACCGCCCACAGCATCTGTAAGAAGTGATCTATTACAATAAGTTGACGGAGCTAGAAAAGCTAGGGGCAGACCAAATGTACATGGGTCAAAGTAGTAAGAAATGATTTAGGTGTTCATAATTTAACAACTGATATGCTGTTAAACAGAATGGAATGAGGGTTAGATGATACCTGATTATGAAAATTGTGCTACTTGGGTTAGGGTTACATATTTGATGGTTGGGTTGGGTTCATTGGATTCAGAATTAGGTTGGATTGGGCTAGGGTTGAGGACCTCTGCCTTGGATTGATCTCAACCCAACTTAACCAGGCCCAAGTTGCAACCTTAACTGTGCCATCAATCTAACCCAACGAGTTAAAACCAACAGGATGGAGGCAGCAAATGAGTTAAGTGTGGGTAATACTGTTTACTATCTGAATTGTTATGCTGAAAAGTTTCCTTTCAGTTATTTCTATTAATGGTGCTCTAAGCTCACTATTAACTCCATATTCACTGTGAATATTGGATGGGCATATTAGGAATTTTTTTCCATATTAGGAAATTGGGAAAAGGGCAGTCCATGAGGTGCATGTAGATCTCTGAGATCAATGGACTCCATATTCTCTGCTGCTGATCCTCCTGCTTGGTTATCAGGGGTCCTTGCCTTTGATGTTTGCTAGGAGTTGCTCGATCTAACAGGGTACATGCTTGTTGATTTGCACATTAACCTTAAAATTTCCACAATAATATGTGGAACCAATATAAGGCAGTATGCTCATCAGGTTTTGGATTTTGGAGATGATTTGTTTTCCACTCTTCTGTAGAGAAAAATTTGTATACTTAATCCAGTTGCTATAGCGTAGCATGAGACTGAGTCTTTTGGTAATTTTAATACAGATCGGTAGATGGTAACATCTGTTAGTACTCTTTTTCCTTGTAAGCTTTTCTCTTTTATCACATTTGAGGTTTCTATTAGTAAATTGGATTGACATTATTTTGTGCTAAACCTATGTCCTTGTTTTCTTGCTTGGTGCTGTAAGTGTGAAAGAAAATTTATAGTGAACCTTTTGTTTGAAATAGCAGTCCACTAGGGGTTTTGTCTTACTTAAAAATAGCATTTCCTACAGCTGGTTGTTTGGTGAATTAGGCTTTGTTTGACCATTTAATGGTGGATCTAATGGTCCTCCTGATCTTATTTGGAAATACATTTTGTGTCATCCTGATTACTAGTTATTCAGTACTAACATACAATATTATTTTCCTCTCTGGAATTCAAAATACTTGATACTAAAACCTGTATTTCTCATTTGTCATTCAATGATGCCATCTCTACATGTTATCTGTTATGTTTGGCTCAAACTTTAAACATGTTTGGTAGGGGTGTTGGAATACCAAATGTTTTATCATACTATGCTTTATGCAATTTTAGAAAGTTCTTCCAATCTTTTGAAGCTTTGTTATTTGATTTATCAATTTGTTTCTCGTTGAAGATTGTTTTCTCCCCTATCATTCGATCAGTTTGTTGATATTCATTCCTCAAAATTGTTATATGTTCATACTTCATGCCTTTATTGTGCTTTCAAGTGTGTAAGTTGCTATTGGGTGAATGTCTTTACTGAAGTGTCGTTGCAGGTGAGGGTAGGGAACAACCTATGTCTGTTCCATTCATGCTTAAGGTTTTATGTAATTACCAAGCTAGTATCTTCAATATGTCCCTGCCTTGCTGAGCTTTTTCTTTATGCTCTAACCCCCCTCAAAATTTAATGTCTTAATAATTTGTGCTAACTTGTTTTTTTAGCTCATTATATCTTCTCATTAGGAGTCTTGAAGGAACAATATTCATAAACTTAATGCTAAGCATAATTTGATAAGGAGTATTTATTTGTACTGGTTGAGGAGCAGTAAAAGGCAATGTCATGTTTTATGTGATCACAACATCAAAGGTGTCTTTCGACTGTACTCTGTGTTACCTATTGGCCGTTGGACTTCTTGTTATTGGCAAGTTTTACTGAGCGGACAGATCTGTACTTGTGTGTGGTGTTAGGGCATATCCTCATTTATGCCATGGGATATACTGCAATTAAATGTGGATCAAATACACAAGCATGGGATAAACTGGATAATGTGCATAATTTCCTATATTTGATATGGAGAGTAGTATTTCTGCACAAATCCTACACAAAAATGTGGAACACAAAAGGTTATAACAAAAATTGTTCTGTATGAGTTGTGCTGGTTCCTATCCCTCCTTTTTTGGTGGGAGATTTGCCTTGTCTTTTGACTTTGAGGGGAGGAAGACATGTTTATGGATAAAATTGTCTGAGGCTTGGTTCTTTAAATTATTAACAATTTTATTTTGGTAGTTTATCTAGGTTGCCCTCCATCACTGCTTTAAATTATACAAGGCAATGTTCTGGTTAAATGACCCAAAGGGTTAGTTTGGGGACACCGGTGATGGATGCCTTAATTCTCCAGCACATCTTTACTAGATGGATGAAACTGTTAATTTTGTTTAGAAGACATGAGGCATGTGATCTTTCAGGAAAGACCCGTATTATTACATATGCAAATATGCAATAGGGGGATGAGATTAGGTAGCTTGTCATAATTAATTTGTAACAAGATAGAAACATATGAGGGCATTTAGTTGCCATTTGGTAATGTTCCCAGGAGCAAAGAATATTTAATTTTCTGTTCCTGGAACACCAGAAATGCTCTATTTTGTGTTACCAAATTACACCTTTGTTGCTAATGGGTGTTGAATGCTTCAACTTTTAGTATAAATTCCATATTGAATATTGTGTCCATTCGTGTTCTTATTGTATCAACTATCAAGATAACATAGATCCTCTCGTGCACTTTCCTTTCTTTGATATATGATAAGTACCTGCTATTTCTTTTTCCTATGAATAAACAATAAAGGCTAGGACTGTATCCAGTCCACCCCTCCCAAGACCCTAGATCATTGGGACCAATACTGGGTAATGGCATTTTTTCTCCTTTATGTTGTATTCCACACCAAGTATACCATTGTGCCTATAAACTGAATCGATCAACTGGTTAGGCTGTGTACGGGTATTTTGTTTAGTTTGTTGAGATAAAGATCAGTTTAGTTTTGTCCCCTTTTTCTACAGTGATGGGAATTCTCACCGTCACTCTGTTGCTTTAAGCTCTCTTGGGATTCATCTGGCCTGGACATTAAGCATACCCCTGAAATCTCTTTTTTCATTAAGGCAGTGCACTGACATCCATGAACCACTGCCCATGTTATCACTTGATATTGAGTAGCTCTCAATCACTAAGGAAGAGATTTGGGGTTGTCTAGCTATATGAACTTCCATTAGTTGAATCCTAACTTCTGCTTCTTTTGAATTAGCATCCCCTATTGGCCTACTGAGCACCAAATGTTGATGATATCTGCTTTATAAAATACCCCACCAATTCCAGATGGACTGGGTTTCCCTCCAGAGTTGCTATCAAGTTGCAGCTTGGCCCCAACAACAGTTAGGGGAGGCCATATGACTCTAGATGAGCGGTGCACATGGGAGGAAGATAATAGGATTTCAGATAGACTTTTTCTATGTTTGCCTATGGAAATGTCTCTGAAATCCTTAATGGCCAGCATCCAAGAATTAATGATGGATTCTTCTGTGGTGCTGCTTGCTCCATTTAGTTGAATCTGTTGGCCCAATGGCGTTAAGTTCCTAATTGTACTATCTGGCAGGCTGGTGTTTAGTTTGATTATTATGAATTGGATCCTAATATGTCTATTGATGTTATGTCCTTTCCCTAGAAATTTCTTTCTATGGAATTTGTTGTATTGGTTAAACTTCATTTCAACTCATTTAGTTTGTTACTGTAACAGAGGGCAGATGCATCAACTGTCTGGAAGGAATTTACAACTCCAGAAGGGAGGAAGTAAGTGATAACTTTTGATTTTCTGAGTTCTTAATTTTCACTCATCGAAATATTAATGTGAACATTGAGGTTGTTGCAGGTATTACTATAGCAAGGTTACCAAGCAATCCAAATGGACGATGCCTGAGGAATTGAAGGTGTCTTAATACAACTCATTGAGAAATTCTCTTTCTTTTTATTTCAAATTTTAATATTTTTATTGTATTTTCTAACCTTGCCACACATGCTATTATTCAGTTGTCTCGTGAACAGGCAGAAAAAGCAGCTAGTCAGAGTATTCAGCCTGAGACTATCATGGCCTCTCACACCTCAGTTTCTGTCACTGTCTCTTCAGTTGAGCCACAATCTGTTTCGGCTAATTCTGTTAGCTCTACCCCATCTGCTCTTATACCCAGTTTGGCATCAAGCCCTGTTCCAGTGACACCTGTTGTAGCTGCTGTTAATCCACTCTCTATGGTAGCTTCTGGGTCACAAACTGTTCCTGCTGTACTTGGTGCTGCAACAACAAGTGCAGCAGGTGTTCATTCTACTGCAGCAGCAGTTGATGCTACATTGGTCAACACAACTACTACAACAACGTATGCATATTTAGCAGCTCTTAAGACATTGTTGAGTTGCTTATGGTTGGATCATGTTGGTAATTTTTTTAGTGCTTCCCTTTGCCTGTCCAATTTGCAGGACTAATATTGAGATTGTACCTCATCAAGATGTCACAACTTCTGTAGATGGAGTGTCTGCTCAGGATTTGGAGGTATTGCTAATTTGGACAATTGAATTTATCCAACTGTGATGCAAATATGAATTATGCTCTGATATGTGTTATTTTCAAATATCTGCGGTTTGGTTTTTAGTATTGTAACAAATGGGATCAATATCAACAAGAATGGCTCATTATCAACATTTCAAGCCTTCTTGGGATAAATATAGCCTTTCTCTGTTTCAGCTCTTCCACCAATCTATCTTGTTATACTCTTTCCTGCTACATGCATCTTATGTATGTGATGATTCTTGATTGGTCCACATTGTGCATTTTTGGTAGGGAAGTTTGGGTAGGCAGTGGCTATCCAGATTTATTTATGAAAAGTAACACAATTACAATTGACAAGTGGCGTTATCAACATCTTCTAGCATCCTCCAGAACAAATGAAATAGATGCCTATGAATCTTGTTGGCAGAATCTCATTGTTTTCACTCTTATAAAAGGAGACCACATAATTGGCTTTGTTGTCATAGAATGACTTAATGCAACAGTGTGGGTCCTTTGAATTATAAATGTCTTGAGGGAGGTAATATGATTGGTAATGGAGTTAATAACAGTTTGTAACTGGATCGTGAGATCAGCCAACTTTATGGTTGGTGCTTTGGCAAGAAAGGGGGTTATCAAGAGTCAAATGTTTTGGAGGGTTGTCTGCGAGGTGGGAATACACAATATGCACACGGAGGGTTAAAAATAGGAAGTATAGCAGGGATTATTCCAAATACAGGGTGCTTGGGATGAAGTCAGGTTGCCCACCCTCACTTTTAGTGTTTGCAATACTGATTATGCTAGATTTGATTTTGTCACCTGTTGGTGCCACTTTCTGTTGTGCAGCTATGCTTCTTTTTTTACATTATGTTGTATTTTTGTTGAAGAGTTGATGTTGTTTATGCTTTGTAGGAAGCAAAAAAGGGCATGGCTGTTGCAGGCCAAATCAATATTGCTACTGCAGAGGAGAAAACAATTGATGATGAACCCTTGGTTTATGCTAATAAGCTGGTATTACTTAGAAGTTGCCTTTCATGTCTTACTTGTTGTGTAAACTCGGGACTTATGGCATGCATTTCATATCTTTCAGGAAGCAAAAAGTGCTTTCAAAGCACTTTTGGAGTCAGCAAATGTTGAATCTGACTGGACTTGGGAGCAGGTAAGCTGAACTGCATGAAGGTTATTTTCAACCTCTGTGGATTCTGCATTAGTTTTTGATATTGATATTTGTAAGGAAAATTCCAGGCCATGAGGGTAATAATCAATGACAAGAGATACGGTGCTCTGAAAACACTCGGAGAACGGAAGCAAGCATTTAATGAGGTAAACCTTTAGTGAGTATTTTGTTGATTTTATGTGATTGCATGCCTAAGCACTTAGATTGATTTGCTCCATCAGGTTAGTAGTAAGACCTGTTCTTTTATGTTTCAGTACCTCGGCCAGAGGAAAAAACAGGAGGCTGAAGAGAGACGTATGAGACAGAAAAAGGCACGCAAAGAGTTCACAAAAATGCTAGAAGTGAGTTGGATATTGGATATTGCTCCTGGCAAATGTTGTTTCTTTTTAAATTTATGTTCCTGAATCAGTTGTTGTTTGATTGGATTATGTTGCAGGAGTCCAAAGAGCTGACATCATCCACAAGATGGAGGTTCTTGTCTTGCTTTACAATATGTTTAAGCCTAAGTTTCCCTTTGTAGCTCATTAATTCATTTTTCTAGTCCAGATGCCATAATGCTAATTTTCACTGTTATTTAGATGTTCTTATTGATTTTCTGGACTATCTTTCAGTAAAGCTATTTTTTTTTTATCATTATCTTTCAGTAAAGCTATATCCATGTTTGAGGATGATGAAAGGTTCAAGGCTGTTGAACGACCTAGAGATCGAGAAGATCTTTTTGAAAACTATTTGGTGGAACTTCAGAAAAAGGTAATCTCTGTTTATTTTTTTTTTTAAATATTACATGTTCTTCTGCAGTTCAGCTGACTGGGTGCTGAATGCATTATTGGTCATGTACCTTTTCTTTGTTCTTTTTAATCGGTTGAACTGACTAAGAAAAAATTATATTTATAAAATAAAAGGATATAGAACAGAAGCAATCAATGGAAAAAAGATGCTTATAACCAAGGTTAAAAAATCAATACACCTGATATGCATGAATTTGTGTATCGTGTGTTTCAGATGACCAATACACTACTTTTTTTTTTCATATTTTTACAGGGTCTCTATAATACTCCCATTTAAAGTTTAAAATCATCAAAATTTAGAAACCCTTCATATTAAGCATTTTGGTGCCCCCCCCCCTGTGGAATGATTCGATACACCCATATCGATACTTTGAACCTTGCCTATAACCAGAATGTGTCACTTGCGAATATCTTAATGTCAGATAAAGAGTGGACTTTGCCACTTTTATCTGGTGATGTTGGAACTAAGCCATCATTGAGCTGCTCTTTGATGCAAAAGGTAAAGTTGCATGTTTATGGTTTCTGTCATTGTCACCACTGGTTGTGTTTCATCAAAGAGGTTTTCATGCCAAATTACATGGGGCCAAATTCCTAGAAAAGTAAAGCCAAACCCATATTTTCTCTTGGCCTATAGATGTTTCTCTATTGTAAGCTTCTCATGATCATTCTTTTTTTTTCATTCTTGTTTATGCTCTTAATGCTAGGTCTTAGAGCAGCTTGCAGTTCAATAGATGTTGAATCTTTCCTGTTTAACTTTTATGTCGTGGGATTTTGATGTAGGAACGTGCAAAAGCACAGGAAGAACATAAGCAGAACATAATGGAATACAAACAATTTCTTGAGTCGTGTGATTTTATCAAGGTATTTTTTATTTTTTATTTTTATTTTGGCAAAGTGGGATTGCTACATATTATATGATTTCCCTTTTGTCTACAGGCAAACAGCCAGTGGCGTAAAGTTCAAGATCGCTTGGAGGATGATGAAAGGTGCTCACGTCTTGAAAAAATTGATCGGTTGGAAATTTTCCAGGTAAACTCTGCATGCGATTTCCTTGTTTAACGTAAATACAATGTCAGTAGAGGTTATGTTGCATATAGAATTTTCTGAAAGTCATAATAACCTATTTTGAAGTATCCTAGTAATATGGTTTATTGAGCTTTGGTCTGATCTTGGATGCTATATAGGAATATGTACGTGACTTAGAGAAGGAAGAAGAGGAGCAAAAGAAGATTCATAAGGTGAAAGAAAGTACTCCTTTGTGGTTACAATTTGGAAATACTCCATTTGGAGGTTTACTTCCTCAGTTTCTCATCCTTATCTTTGCCCACAACATAAATACAGGAACAACTTAGATGGGCTGAGCGTAAAAACCGAGAGGAATTTCGTAAATTATTGGAAGAACATGTAGCTGCTGGGACACTTATAGCCAAAATTCATTGGCGTGACTATTGCATGAAGGTGATGCAATAGTTTGTTTTAGTCTTAAGACCAAGTCTAACCTAACATGCTTATCCTTTTATGGTTTGCATTACTTATGGCCTGGTAGAAGTTTTTCTTACCTTTTTCTTTGTTATTTGGAATACAGGTTAAGGATTTGCCTGCTTATCTGGCAGTTGCATCAAACTCATCTGGTTCAACACCAAAAGATTTATTTGAGGATGTTGCTGAAGAACTGGAGAAACAGGTTAGTCTCTTTTACCATGGTTCTGTTGTGGATCTTCATTGTTCTAGTTGCAAATGAGATTTTACAGAAAAAGGCCATTACCCAATGCTGGTCCCTGCTATCTGGCTATCTGGGGTCTTGGGAGAGGGTGGACTGGATATGGACCTGACTTTTGGCATGTTAGCACATGGTGGATACTCCCAGGGAATTTTACACAAAAAACTAAATTATATACTGATGGCAAAATTCTAGAACACTGTGAATGGTTCCTTTTGATTGTTATGGATACTTTTTACCAATAGAGCACCTTGTCATATCTCGACAATAGTCAAGATGCTCATTGGATAGAAAGATTTTTACTGATAAAAAAAAAGATGCTCATTGGATATGCAGTACGATGCTTTTGAAATCTGCTAATTGCTTGCTTTAATTTTGTATTTCTTTTTGTCATGAAATTGATGCTGAAGGAAGAAATTGTAAATAATACGTTTGCAAATACATTCTTCTTTTGAAGGAGATTGTTAGGGAGTGTATAGAAGAAAGTCGTATCAAGAGTCAAAGGAACAAAGAACCATGTTGTGCACAAGATGTAGTGTTTGTAAATCATGAAACTGGGTTTTGGCATGTGCACATTACATGATATGTGCATAATTAGATATGCAACTAATTGAGTGATTGACAACCAAAACTCACATTTCTTTTAAATCTTTAAATCCTATTCTAACTTTTTTTCTCCTTATTTATGTTGACAGTATCGTGAAGACAAGACTCGAATAAAGGATGCAATGAAGTTGGGAAAAGTATCTTGCTTCTGTTTCTTCTTTTTCTATTTCCTTTTTTTCATTCTTTCCACTTTAGTTCAGAAAATGTTCAGTCACCACAGATGTCTGATGGTGCATCTTTTTTTCAGATTAATATGGCTTCGACATGGACACTTGATGATTTCAAATCTGCTATTGCTGATGATGTTGGTTCCCCACCAATATCAGATGTCAACTTAAAGGTGATTTTTTCTCTAATTGTTAATTTACGTATTTTAGTTTTGTTGGCAATTTTTATGGGTTTCAACCAATCTTGTAGTGTTACATTGTGAGTGCTTCTGTCTCAAAATGAAGCGTATATGATGTTGGAATGCTTGAGTGGGACCTAGGTGATGACCCTTGTCTTGTGTTAGATGTCTAGTGGCTGTCCTTCTTTATCAAAATGCCAAAAATAGTAGGATGAGGATCTTTCCCCACTTTAAGTGATTTACATTTTGCCATCCACCTTCTGCACTCAAAAAACAACCTAATTTGTTGAAATATAATCTAGCTTGTTATATCCACTATGAGAGATCAATGAGTAAATACTGAAAAAAAAAGAGATCAATGAGTAACGAATATGAGAAATCTTGGCAAAAGGAAAAGATCATTAAAACCCTTCTGTTCCTTCCATAAAATTTAACTTGGTTAATCCCAAAGCCACAAAGGAGCTAGAAAGAATGATGCCATGCCATCCTAAAAATGCAACAGATAAATTTCCAAGCAACTATTGCTGTCTTGCACCGCAAAAGAGGATGGTCAATTGATTCTATTTGTTGGATGTGATGCATCTAGGAATGGGAATGCCTCTGTTTGTCTTGTCAAAGAAGAGCAAGCTAAAGTAGTGCCACTGCCTTGGGAAAGGAAAAACTGATGGCACTCAAAGTTGTGCCAAGTTATTGTCAACCACATCTTCTGCATTCCAAGTTAGGAATTTGTAAGGAGGCAAATTGAATCTACCTCTATGATGTCGGAATACCTGTACATGCTTTGTGTACCTGTCTCAGAAGCAATTAGTACTTGATACAACAATGGATACTTAATGGATGCTTCTACAACATACTTTATAGCATGGACACTAAAAGCATATAAATGGTATATCGTATAAATCAGAAATGGTGGGAAATATTTTTTCTCTCAAGCTCATCAGGTGAAGGCACGTCCCTTGAAGCTGAACTGCTGGAACTTCTCCAAGGATTAAAATTAGCTTTCTCCTTGGGTCGGACTATGTAGAGAGACGGGGCCTAATGGGCCCTAATATTTCTTTTATGTTTAAGTAATGTTATATCTGTTTTATGTGTTAATGGGCCTGTTAACCTCTTTTTAAGTTGTTTTAAGTCACTGCTTTACTGGCCACCCACTTAAAGGGCAGACTTGTAATTAGCATGATTAATTAAGTTTAATAAAAGATTAGTGAAGGGAGAGAGAGAACCATCGAACTCTCTTCTTCTTCTTCTTCTATTCTGCTGTAACCTTTCTTTCTCTCTCACTTTTTCTTATTTCTTTTATCTGTTGTATATCAGATTTGAAGGACAGACTCACATCTGACTTGTCTCATAATAGATGGGGATGACAAGTGATGGTTCAATGGTTGTTCTTAAGCACAGATATTCCCCTGACCCTTGGATTCTTAATTGGCGAAGAAAATTCTTTGTCGGCTTACCTTAGTTGCTAGTTTAGGTCAACTCCAATGGCAGAAAATAGCATGACAAATTTTCTAACTAGGGAATGGGTGACAAGGTATCATTTAGTTTTGGGGGCACCTGGTCTCGGGTTAGTTTAATTTGTATTATGTTTGCATGTTTTGTACTTTTTCGATGCATTCTGAACATGCCTGAACTGCTAGTTCAGATGAACTCAAAGGGTAGGTAATAGCATGACAGATTTTCTAACTAGGGAATGGGTAACAAGGTATCATTTGGTTGTGAGGATACCTAGCCTAGGGGGTAGTTTAATATGTAAGATTAATATTCTTGGTTACTGTTGTACCTTTTCAATCCATTCCAAACATTTTGGGATGGTGGAGTTTCCCAAATCTTTACATTAATAAAACTAGGAAGTACTGTTACTGATAGAAGGAAAAATGGGGCTATGAAGAACAACAAACTTGATTTTATATTTCAAAGGTTATTTGAAAATTCTTCAAGCTGGAGAACTCGATTCCCATGCCTAAGAGAATCAAAATCATAAAATACTCTTGCAACTAAATCATCAAAAAAAAAAAAAAAACTCTTGCAACTAAGGAAAAGGGATCTAATATATCTGATAAACTAGTAAGAGAGATTGAGATCTCAACTGGGGGGAGGGGATTAGGCTTCCTGGGGTGTGTCACCACTACTGGTTCCATGTGCATTTTGGATTCTTAGCTCTTGGTTTCAAATGATAAAAAACCACGTTTTTCAAGGATATTGAAGATGTCATTGTACCATAAGTTGTCATTCTTAGCAGGTTCTTAGTTCTTACTGCTTTTTCCCAGTTTACCTAATGTAGTTGGACTTCTATTCACATTTTCGTGTTCACCCTCCTTACATTTCTTGTTCATCGGGACAAATTGTACTTAACAAAAAGGATCTTAGTTAAATCATGTTATTTTGTTCCTTATAAATCCATATATGGTCAACTTAACAGTGTTTAGAAATGGCTTGACTATGGCTTTGTTATTTAATCTCCTCCCTATTCTCCATTTTTTCTAATCCCTGCATACTTGCTTATATGTTATACCATGAATTTAATTCCATGTTTGACACTACTTGCAGCTTATATTTGCTGAGCTACTAGAAAGGATCAAGGAGAAAGAGGAAAAGGAAGCTAAAAAGCGTCAGTGTCTGGCAGATGATTTTTCTGAACTACTTTATTCAATTAAGGTATGACAACTTTTTTCGTAATGAATATTATTGACATTCGTAATAAGCAACACTTGGGTAATGTGTGGGATTTTTGTTGACTTAACTTGATTCATTCACACTTGTTTTGTAGGGAATAACTGCATCTTCTAAATGGAAAGATTCCAAATCACTTTTTGAAGACAGCCAAGAGTACAGGTATGGATGCTAACTAAAGTAGTGCTTTTAATAAGTCAAACTGTCTGTCTTATGTTTTCATAACATTCTTTACTTCAGATCAATCCTGGAAGGGAGCTTTAGGAGGGAGATCTTTGAGGAGTACATTATGCACTTGCAAGAAAAGGCAAAAGAGAAGGAGCGCAAGCGAGAGGAGGAAAAGGTACCTCAATCATTTCAATTTTCTTTACATTAATCCTTTTTGCTTGTATATTTGATATTGGACACATTATAGAAGTTTCATGATTGCTTTCTTATTAATGATGTAGGTGATGCAACTTTTGGTTGCCATGGTTTAGATTCTTCTCAATACCTGGCTGCAAGTAATGGATGTTTGGGTGTTTCTTGTTGCCATGATTTTGGTTGCAACTATGTGTGTGGATTCAAGTGACTTAATTTTGAATATATGTTGGATGTTTTATGCTTTAGATATATACCGTGGTGCTTACTTGTGACTCGGCCATTTATAGAAACTTGGTAGTGGCATGGAATTATTTACCTCTCTATGCCTGGCTGCAAGTAATGGTGGAGCATTGGTCATGGTTGTCAAGACAATGCCAGGCGGGCGCCTAGGTGACAAGGTGCCCTTGGAGACTTGCCTCGCCTAATTGCCAAGCATAATACTTTTATGTTCTTAATTTTTTGAGATTATAATTATAAAATAGACATTAACCTAAAATATTCATTTTGTGTGTTCATATACTAATTTCTTTTTTTTATTTTCTTATTTTATAGGGTTTAATCAATACAAACATTGCTAAGTGCTGTATTGAACTCTCTAAGACTTCAAAACCTGAACCAATAAAGAAGAACTTAAAGTTTTGTCTAATCAACACATTTTCTTCTTCTTTTTCCTATAGTGAAAATAGAGGGTTTCAGCCCCTTTTCTCTCTTCATTTTCTTCTCATGAATATGTTGATTTTCTAATCAACTAGGTGTCCCTCTGTCACCTAACCTTGCCTTGGCGCCTTCAAAACTATGGCATTGGTAAAGGACAACTTTCAGGTTGTCAACGTGTCTGTGGTGTGGAATCCCATCATGAGAAGAAATCTCAACAATTAGGAAAATGAGATGGCAAGTTTTCTAAACAAGTTGTATGGAATCTCTCCTCAATTAGGGACTGAAGATAGAGAGTCTGGAAATGAGACAGGTCTGGTATTTTTTCAATGAAGGCTTTTTTAAGAGGCTGGATGCTCAAGGAGTAATGGACTTCCCTGGAACTGAGATTTGGCAAGCATCTGTCCAGTCTAAGGTGGCTTCTTGGGGTGGATGGCAGCTTTAGGAAAATGCCTAACAATGAACAGCTTGGAAGGGGAGTGATGCTCAATAGTACTTCTAGTGTGCTGTGATTGTTAGTAGAAGAGTCTTCTATTCATATCTTCCTTCACTGTGAGTTTGCTAGAAGGGTTTGGGTCCTGGGTTAGAGACTTTTGGATGGAAAAGGATGTTTCCCAGTGGTGGTAAACCTTCTAAGAGAATAGCATTTGTCAGGTTTCAGTGAAAGGGGCAGAGTGGTATGGAGTATGGCACCTCTAGTTTATCTTTTGGTGCATCTGGCCATCTGAGGAGAAAGAAACAGTGGAGTTTTGATGACATGGCTAATTCTGAGGATGTGGTTTGCAACAGAGTCAAAGGTACTTTTTGTTCTTGGATGATGACTCAGGTTGTTTAAGGGGATACCATATAGCGGATTTTTTATAAGAAATATACTGTTTGTATAGAAATATGAATATACAGTTTATCGTTGTACAGGCCCATTATACGGTTTTTTTGTGTACAAAGGCTCTCCTTTTTGTTTATATTAATCAAAATATGTAACCTTTTTTAAAAAAAATGGAATTATGGTTTTATGTTTTATTTTGGTTGGTTCTGCTGCACTAGATCCACACCTTTTAGCTGTAATAAGTAAACCTGACCCTGCTGGCTCTCCCAAGGATAAAGCAAAAGAGGTAATATTTCATGAGAGTTTATTCATTATTGTATTGTAATAATAAGAGCTTATAACTAACCAGTCTTGTGCTCTTCATTTAGTCATGATTCCAATTTTTGAGGGTAAGCTAGTTATTTGTTCATTCATTTTCTAAATTGTATCTTGTACAAAGAAATTTGTCATTACAGAGAAAGTGATACTACGATGGGAATTAGAAATGATATATTGTTAAGAAGGTTTTAGATTATTTCCATACCTATCAAAAAAAATCTTTTAATTTTGTTGCTTGCAGTTAAGAAAAGTTAACACACAAATAATGATCCTTCCTCATGTTTTACTGAATTTTTTTTTAATGGAGTCCTCTTTCTACCACTGACACTAATATTTCCCAATTTTGTCATGCACAGACCAAAAAAGAAAAGGAGAGAGAGGAGAAAGAAAAGAGGAAAGAAAAGGAGAGAAAGGCGAAGGAGAAAGAACGTGAAAGGGAAAAGGGAAAAGAGCGATCTAAGAAGGATGAAACAGAGAGTGAGAACATTGATGCAACTGACGTTTATGTCTCTAAAGAGGATAGAAAGAGGGGTAAAGACAAGGACAGAGACAAAGACAAGGAAAGGAAACATCGAAAACGTCATCATAGTACAGCCGATGATATAAGCTCCGAAAAAGATGAGAAAGAGGAGCCAAAGAAATCTCGTAGACATAACAGTGACAGAAAAAAATCGAGGAAGGTACACTAATGGGTATTCTTATTAAAATTGTTTAAGCTTGATAATATTATCATACCTAGGTTTGTAATTTACTTTGGAGGATTATAGAAGGGATTGTAATTTTTCTATATGATATGAAGCAGCATGCTTACACGCCTGAATCAGATGGAGAAAGCAGGCATAAGAAACACAAGAGAGAGCACCGGGATGGTTCCCGTAGAAATGGTGCTTATGAGGAGCTTGAAGATGGAGAACTTGGAGAGGATGGGGAAATCCGGTAGTTTCCTTTTTATCTATCCCTGCAGATTATTAATTCCTTTTCGTACTTTCATTCTGGCTCTCTCTTTCTATCCTCACGGATATTGCGAATTAACTATTTACTTGACTATGTTGGATATTTTGCCAATGTATACATTTTTTTTCAGTAGTTACTTCTTTAATTGATTATGATTGCAGTGCTAATTCTCAGTAGTTATTTTTTTCAGTAGTTTGTGTTTTCAACTCGATAATTGATCTAGGCGGTTCAACTGTTTGACCCACCACCCGGTGAAGAGAACAGGTTGATTTTATCGCAAACCTGCCTAAAGGCTAAAAGTCATTGACCGACCGTTAAACCGCTACACAATACAATTTGGCCTGTTTATGGGCGACAAATTAGAATAAGAACCAACAAAGCAAATAAAAAATACATCTGGTAAAAACGTAATTCGTTCAAATGCTTGGAGGCTTGAAGCAGCGGTAATGTCATCACTCGACTGTGGTTTGTGTGGGAGAACATCCGCGGTTTCCACCACGGACACATATCTATCTCTCTTCTCTCTCTCTCTCTCTCTCATATGCTTGTATTGAGGGTTCTTGATGGTTGAACAGGTTGGTCGTAACCTATGAACCACTGCTTCAGCCTTCAGGTTAACTCAATGTTTTAAAAAAATGATTCGGTTCAGTTTGACCATCTCGTTCGAACAGATGGCTTATTCTGACAAAAAACAATTAAAATAAAAAACAACCAAAAACCGTTGAATGAGTCAAATAGGCCGATGGTTTGACCGCTTGAGTCAATAGGTTGGATGATTCAACGGTTTTTGCCCAGAAAATGGGTTTGGGATAAAATGGAATCGGTTGTCTAGACCATTTTTGAGCTGAACGGTTCAACCATCTGGGTCAATGACATAACCCGGTTYAACCATGGGTTAACTTAAAAAAAGACATAATCGGCTTCAGGTCCTTAAAAAGTTGCCACATTTTACCCGAGCCCCCTCATTTTGGAAAATTGCAGTACCTTCTGCAGGCAGAATCTGCGCCACCAGTTGTCACACCGGGTTGAGAATGGCTGAAGTTAATTCTTCATTTTCAGCACACATTTGGACGGCTTTTGGAAATTTCGTCATTTATTTTATTTTTTCGAATTGCTTACAGCTTCATTGTTTTTGGTTTGGAAAACAAGAATGGATATTTGTATATGGAATTGGGAGTTTTTGACACATTCAGGCAATGTGCAACAATGAATAACATTAGTATTTGGTTACAAAATTCTTGCTATTGATCTCATTCCTTTTAGAATGAAAAATCATCCTATAGCATAAAAATTGAGGTAGCTGGCAACATGAAAAATAATTATGCCCCATCTTGTTCATTTTCATTCTTTAAAGAAATTTTATGCGGGTGGTCATAAAACCAACCTAGGTCTACAAAACTATTGCCATGGATGTTTACTGGCAGACTGCCATGGAAACTTACACCAGTGGACATTGACCATCCACCATCCGCGAGTAAGCATCTATGCCAATAATTTTGGAGACTTAGGTTGGCAATTTATGACCCACTGGCACAAAGCTTCTTTGAAGAATGAAAATAAGCAACATAAGACACTTGTCAGTCTGAAAAAAAAAATCATTTTTAGGAAAAGAATGTTTGGTTCATAGCAATATTTTCTCATTCTGCCCAATGTTGCCCATTCTTGTTATTCTTGTTCATTTTAGAATTTCATCTTAGATAAGAATGAGAATTGAATCAAACATGGCCTCAATTGAGAACAGAAAGTTTTGGATTAGAATATGTTTTCATTCCTCGAGAATAACATTTTGTAGCATGATGGTGGTCATAATCAAGCATAATAGCTGCATAGCCTGCGTTACCACTTGCCATGTTCATGGTCCAATTGAACGCTTTCCATTATTAATCTTTTTTTCAAAGGAGATGATGAGTTGATTATTCGTTTTACCAAACATTGTGGATTCAATCACAATCTTATAATAGGAACAAAATATCTTTCTCAATCAATCTCTTGCTCCTCATTCTTTGAGAATCAGAAAAATCCTTTACAATTTTGAATTTGTTTATTTGGAAATTGGGTTTTTCTACTTAATGTATTTATTTTTTGTTTCCCTCTTTTTTCATTTTATTCCCGTTCATCATTTTTTGTCTCATAGGCTTGATCTTGTATAAGGTTCAAAATATCGATATGCCTGATACGCCGGTATGGGCGTATCGGGCGAATTGATACTCCTTTTGGTGGTTTTTTTTTTGCCAACTGGTTCAGGGGAGCCGATTTAGGTCTTTGCCACACCCTGAACCAGTCAGACCACCGATACACCCACTGTAGGGATGTATCGGTGGGGTGCCGGAACGATACGTATCGGCCAAAACATGTCGATACTTTGAACCTCGATTGTGTATTTATATAAAAACGATATTTGCCTTGATTTTAGTGCAAGTCATAATTTATGAAATTTAAATTTGATTATATAATATTAGCTTATATCTTTACTTTTTACTTACATTTGTGCACGTGCCCTTACACTAGTGTCTACATACGTTTGGCGGGCAAATGGCCTACACCTTAGGGGGTAGTCTTCCTTCAAACTTCTAAACACCAAGCAACCAATGGGGAAGGTGGAACTCAATTCTGGGTCTCTGACTCTCCCTGTCAATTAGCTAGATAATTTACCAGCAAGATAACTTACACCTTAAGTGTTGTGAAAGACCCGTCTGCAATGCCAAATTTGAGAAATGATTTCTGGTGATTGGATCAGTTTATGACAATTTTATCAAAAATGCTTATGGCTAGCTAATGCAAGAAATGGTTCCATTATAGTTCTTGTTTTAGCATTGCTACAGTCTACAGATACGGAGCAATGAGCTTTAAGTTATAGGATGTTGAAAAGCAGTTGCTGCACTTGTCTACGGGTACGTATTTCTTTTACATTTGGAAAGATAAAATTAGTTTTTAACCATTTTTTATTTTAGGCAGTATTTGCTGAAGTAATGTTTTTAAAGAAAGGTTTCATATTGGAAAAGGGACTGGTATAAAATGATATTTTTCTTTTTTTTTTTTTGCATAAACCATATGTTCTGTAAAATCTCATTTCACTATTACTAAGATACGGATTTTCTCCATGGTTATTCGGGTTCGGATGTAGTAGGCACGTTAAGTAAACTAAGTAAGCACCTAATAGCTGTGTAACAACTGTTCCAGTTAATTTGCCTTTCATCTTAATGTTTTTGTTCTGTTAGGAGTTATCTATTATTTTATTATTTGTTTTAAAATAATTAAAAATAAAAAAAATCATGAAAAAGGAAAACCTATCCCATTTAATGCGCTTTTCTCTCCACCCTTCTGCCGTTTAGGGTTCTCCCACCTCTGGAGCTTCAGCCGCCAACTGGTTGGTTGGGGCAGGCATTCTACTTGGTTGGGTGGAGTGGATTCAATTATTTGCATCGTGTTTTTGAAAAGACCGTTGAAATAAATATCGCATTTAATTCTATTGATTACAATTTTTTTTCATCCTCTATTATCTTTAGAAATTCCGAAACTAACTTTTACTCTACTATTATTTTGTTTATAATAGATAGCTTTGATTCAGTGTAAAAATTATAAAATTTTAAAAAATAAAGAAGATTCCTGCACATGGAGAGCTTTAGTGGTAATACATATAAACTAACGGAGGGGCCCTACTTCGCAGGGGCTGGAATGGAACCGTCGATCCGATCTCTGGCCAAAAACCATTGAATCAATCAACGATTCATTGACTCAAGCGGTCGAACCATCAACCCGTTGACCCGTTCAATAGTTTTTGGCCATTTTTTATTTTTCTTAATTAGGAACCATCTGGGCAACCAATTCCATTTTATCCCAATCTCGGTCTCTGGCCAAAAACTGTTGAATCGGTCAACGACCCATTGACCTGTTCAATGGTTTTTTGTCGTTTTTTATTTTTATTTTTAATTTTTGTTGTCAGAACGGGCCATCTGTTCGAACCAAACAATCAAACCGTCAACCCGAAAACCGGTGGCCAGAACAGTTCCATTTTTAGGTCGTATGAGTCACACGCTTGAGTGACATAACACGTATGGTACTACTTACTGGATCTCACTCACTCAATTTTTTGCCTATAATTTTTGTTATCAGAACAGGTCATCCATTTTTTTATTTTTTAATTGGAAACCGTCTAGGCAACTAGTTCCATTTTACCCCGATCCTGGTCCCTGGCAAAAAACCGTTGAACCGGTCAATGACCCATTGACCCGTGTGGTCGAACCGTCAACCTGCTGACCCATTCAATGGTTTTTGGCCTTTTTTTATTTTTTTTAATTTTTGCTGTCAGAACGGGCCGTCCGTTTGAACCGGATGGCTGAACCATCGATTTGAAAACCGGTGGCAAGAATGGTTCCATTTTTGGGTCATATGAGTCACACGGTCGAATGACATAACATCATGGTTTTTAAAACCGACCCGGAGACCGAACCGGTCAAGGGTCTGGTTACTGGGTCGAATAGCCCGTTCTAACAAAAAAATAAAAAAACGGTCAAAACAACAGAAGATTTTTTTATAATTGAAACCCTCTTTATAATTGAAACTTAAGCGGCAGAAGGTTGGAGATCGAGAATCCAATGAGTTCCAAGTACTTCCAACTCCCAACACGTTTAAGTTTTCCTTTTTTATGAATTTTTTAAAACAATAGAGAACTCCTAACGGAACAATAACGTTAAGATGAAAGGCGAATTAGCTGAGACAGTTGTCACACACACCTATTATGTGCTTATGTAATGTGCCTACTACATCCGGACCCTGGTTGGGTTATTCAGGTATGAGCTACTACATTTAATGTTCTATTACATGATTGATAATACAACAATCAGAAAATAAAAAGACATTACATATTGTATTTCATCACTCAGGGCTTGTTCCATCAATCCACATTCAGGTTTACTTTCAGGAACTGAAAGAGGGAAACTCCCCCTGAATGTGTGCAGAATTAATTTCTCAAACCTATTTATCTTATGCGGCTATCTGCTTGTCTCCGGACTTATCTTGTTTATATATTTTTGGAGGCAGGACAGGACCATCTTGCATTTTATCGAGGAAGCTGAACTGTTTGCAATCTCACAGAGAATAGGAATAGAGAAAGCGCTGCATCAGTCCAAGGAAAACCTGTTAATATGTTTGGATGCTAAGCAAGTGG